TCAACCAATGGGGTGACTTTCTATTTTCACCTTTGTTGACTGATTGACTGACTGACTGACTGACTGACTAATTCAGTCTCTTTGTGTGAGACTAACTGTTCACATTCTCTGTTCCCCGCAGCCAAGTGTATTCCGTAGCTAACAAGTGGCTAGGTCAACACTCGGTAGCAGGGCCCCAGACAGTTTTTCCTTTGCCTCCTTCATTAAGTAAGGAGGAGTGCTGATGTGCAGGCGCAGGTCTGCACAGGGAGAGCGATGCTTTGTGAACTCTTGCAGAGATGAAATTCTATTTTGAGGGCAGATACCACGTTCAGTCTAGAAACTCTGCCTGAGGTGTCGGCCCGCGTGTAAGGAGGAGGATGATGCAGAGAGGATGAACAGACCAGGTCTCGTTTCAACCCAGAGTCCCCACTGGGCGTTTCTGAACCATGAAGAACTGAAATGTAAATTTTAAACAAATGCGAGGTGCAATTCCATTTTGGTGAGGCCACCTACCTCCCTGGCAGGACAGACAGAGCAGGGGACGGGTCCCACAAGCGCTCCGCTGTATAAGAAGGCAGATTTTAAAGGGGTAATCTTAGCAGACCCCACCTGTGAGAGGGTCATGCATCCACTTCTAGATGCAAGTGAAAGCGTGAAAATGAGTTTTCTTCACCTCGCAAGGTGGAGAGTGGCAAGAAAGAAGGCTTAGCACAACCTCAGTGGTTCATCAACACATGACGTCTGTGAATGATTTGTGGAGTTTTGGATGGCAGTTTCCTCACTTAGAAAATGGGGTATCTTCATCAGAATCAAGATGGCTTCTGGCGGTCCCTTTGGTTCTGTGGCATGACTTCTTGAGCTACAGTATGCACACAAATCACTTGGAGATCTTGTTAGAGCGAGCTGTTGGACAAGGGTTTGGAGCCTAAGATTCTGCAGTTCTAATGGGTTCCCACGTGATGGCGAAGCTGCTGGACAACACTTGGCTTTACAAGGTTTTAGAACCCTATGAGCCCTTAGAGAGCTTTTTTTTCACTAGGCTGAGACAGCTTAAAACAGGGGCCAGACAGAGTCCTTAAATTGCCTAGAATGATTTGAATTCAGAGAGATGTCCTGTCCATCATCATAAGGGCACATTCTATTTTTTCCAACATCTCAGCTAAAGACCCAGTCTTAAGGAGATTGTCCGTAGTTACAAGGAGGAGAGGATCATGGAAAGACTTTTCCAATTTAGTTCCTATAACAACCTTCGGAAGCCAGTGTGACTGTGTTCATCTCACAAATAACAGACACGAGAATCAGACATGGTGGGGTCGAATCCCTTTCTGAACGTCAGATAGCCAGTAGATGAAAAGATTTTGGTTCTGACCCAGGTCTCTGATATTAAGGTCCTCGCTCTTTCATTTCACGACATTAACTTACCGAGCCCCACAGGTACGAGAGCCTAACGATAAACGCTGGGTGAGTCTCAGCAGAATGATGCTTCAGTAGAAACCTATGTGCCCTGGGTCTCCAGAATCCCTGAAGATCCATTCCCCGCCCCTTTCTGTGCCTACCAGGAGAACTGACTGCTTCAGGGGCGCTGGCCTCCCACTGGGTCTGGCCAGTAGGAAACACCTGAGAGAGAACAAGGAGCTAGAGATGAGACAGTCATCCTAAACGTTCTGCTTTACTATTGATCCCCAAGTTCAAAAGTAAACTAAGGGATTCAGGGTCAAACCAAATAAAGGCGGGTTACAGAAATAAATGCTCCTCTTAGGCTGGGGTTGAATTCACTGGTGGAGCGTTTGATTCAGGTGAGTGAAGTTCTGGGTTTGACTCCCCAGCACTGCAAGATAATCATGGTAGGAATAATGGTATTAAATAATGTTCAGGTGTCCCGAAGCACTTTATATGAACTAACTCATCCCCACCCAGCCTTGATTACCCTTTTAAAGGAGAGAAGGAAATTGAGACATAGAGGGTTGAAGATACAGTTTTAGGCTGCACAGTTTCCAAGTGGCCAGAATTTGACCCTCTGAGGTCTGGCTTTGAGCCTGTCTTCTGTGCATCATGCTGTACTCAAGCAAGGACTTCCAGAAGCTATGGGCTGTTTTGGAGCAGGGATGGACACTGAAGAAAGTGGTAGTTAAGAGAGAAGTATGGGGGAAAGTCCCAGGAATCTTTACAGCGCTGGCATGTGAGCATGCTCAGAGTCTCATAAAATGACAGGAGTCTATCTTGTAACTCTGATTATGGACAGTCTGTCTTATTCACATGCCTCAAGTCAGAATTTATTCATTTATCTTAGTGAAGGGAAGAAGGAAAAAAATGGTGAGTCAAGATGGCATTTTTCTGAATCAAGATGGCTGGCAGTTACCAGTGTTGCAGCACCAGTTAACACAAGGTCTTAAAGTGTCAACGGTCCCAATTGTTACTGAACCCAAGTTGTCGCCTCTTCATTATCAAGAGATTCAGGGACAGACTGTTAACTGTTCGCTTACAGGAGTCTTCCCTTACCCACTGGAGATACATTTTAGGACCTCCACTGGATGCCTGAAACTTCAGCTAGTACCGAACCCTAGAGACTGTGTTTTTCCTGTGCATATGCACCTGTGGTGAACCAAGATTTAAGCACAGTAAGTGACTGACAGCAGTGGTACAACAGAACACTTATAACAATTAAGTGTAATACATGCTTTTAAATGTACTGCTTGTTTCTAGAATTTTCCATTTACTACATGAAAAGTGACCTGCAGGTAAATAAGGGGCACTAAAGCATTGCTCAGAAACAGTTATATTAGCAGCTCCCACTGTCTGCTGTTGTTGCTACTTTATAACTATTTTATTTTGGGTTTCTTATGCCTCTACCTCCCTTCTCCATCCCTTATCCTTCCTAATACCTTCCAACCCTCCAACACTAGGTAGAAAGAAGGATAGTGGGGAGAGGGGGCAGAGTTCTTTTTGGCTACTTTCTTCTGGTTACGGCCATTGGGGTCTTTGGGGCAATACCAATCTCAGTCAGGATTTCTAGCACTCCAGCAAACACAGCAAAAGGATGAACCACAGCACAGGGAGAAGCAGGCTTCTTTTTTCTCAGAGTTTTTCACCCTCTCCTAGGTCTGGTATTTATACCCTTTCTGAGTCCTCAGAATTTCTCTAACTTCAGCTGGCAAAGACCACACCCCTCTCTGAGCTGCACAAGGTAATTATCAGCTGTGGACAAACTAAAAGCAGGCCCATATCCCACACTTGGGATTAAAACAAAAGCATAACATAAAATAACAGAGTTTTTAAAGAAACCACAACTCCACTATACTCTGTTCTCTATGTGGAAACACAGTTATCTTGAGCCTTCTTTTCCTCATCTATACAACAATGGTGGTAACACCCACATGACAGTGGCTGAGGTCTTCACTGGGTAGAAGTATAGAAGTGAGACAAAGTATATGTTTACAGATATGAATAAAACCACTTCCTTTCCAACATGAAATTGTAATAAAGGCATTGCCCTCTGGTTCTTCTCTTTCCCTCACTCCCTTCCAAGTCCTACTGTGAAAACTTGCAAAAAATCATAAAATTTTGTGTGGGAGAGTCAAATGTACCTTTATCGTCATCATCACCACCAAGATGTGCTAGTCCCCAACAGCTTCATGCATTTGGCTTATGTATTTTATTTTCGTAGAAACATTTTAAAACCACCCCAAATATCAAAAGTCAAATCTCCAACTATCCTACGTGTTTCTAGAAAGTAAGATTTTCTTAATGTAGTGTCATTATTACACCTAACAAAAGAAACAACCACCAGTGAGAAGTCCTGTGTAGGCAAATTCTGATGCCAGAATACCAGTAGCTTTTAATGGTTCATTTGTTCAAATCAAGATTCAAATATGGTAATTAGAGCAAGATAGAAGCTAGTACACAGGGCCATGTTTATAGTCCTTAGAGTTCAGGTATGTCTTTGCCTCCTTCCCAGTGACTCAGGTTTGCCAATATAGTTCACCCTGACATTTGCAGTTTGCTAATGTAAGCACAGATGTGGCTTGGGCTGTGTCTGGGATGTCGCCGTTCATCTCTTGGGTGAACGTGGCTGATAGCTGGCACTTGGCTTCCTCATTTTTTTTCTTCCTTCATTTTGGAGTTCATAGACTGGAAACCTTTTTATAAAAATAGATTCCCCCGGCCAAATGGATGCATACATAGGATTAACGTTATTTGATTTTGCCTAGTGAGAGCATTAACAATGTGTTTTAAAATATTTTATAGTAAAAATTATACATGTATGTGTGATTACGTGCACATGTGAGTGTAGGTGCTATGCTCTTAGTTTGCTTTCTAGTGCTATGGTAAAGACCATGACCAAAAGCAACTTGGAGAGGAAAGGGTTTGTTTGGCTCACACTTCCAGGTAACAGACCACAGTCCATTTTGGAAGACACCAAAGCAGAAGCTCAAAGCAGGAACTGGAGGCAGTAATTGAACCGGAGACAATAGAGGAGTGCTGCTTACTGGCTTGCTCCCCGTGGCTTGCTCAGCCTGCTTTAAAACAAAAACAAAAACAAAAACAAAAACAAACAAACAAAAAACCTGGACTACCTGCCCAGAAACGGTACCAGCAACAATGGCCTGGGCCCCCATCCATCAATCATTAATCAATAAAATGTTCCACAAACTTCTTACAAGCCAATCTGATGGAGAATTTTTTTTTTCCAGTTGAGGTTTTCCCTTTCCAGATAACTCTAGCTTGTGTCAAGTTGACAAAGAACTAAACAACATGGGGTCTTTTGAAGCTGGAGCTACAGGTACAGGGAGTTAGTTGTGGGCTGCCCAACATGGGTCTCTGCAAAAGCAGGATGGTGTCTTTACCACCCTGCCACCTCTCCAGCCCCCTCTAACAGCTTTTTAAATTACCCTTTGCTGTGGTTTAGATGCGATTCACTCCTTAAAGTTCAGCATTTAAAGCTTGATTTTAGAGGCGAGGCACACCGCCCTTCCCCACTTTCTGGCTTTTTAACTTACTGTGTGATCTCTTCCTTTTAGGTATGCCTCTGCCATCGTGGCAATGGTCATGGAGTGATGAAGTCAGAGGTGCACTCTCCAGAGCCAACACCAAGCTTTTTGAATCGTTAGCTTTAAAATCTGTAAGCAAATAAGCCAATTTTTGTCCTTTAATTGAAAATGGATTTTTTTTTCATACATAATATATCCTGATTATGGTTCCCCTCCCTCCATTCCTCCCGGTTTCTTCCATCCTCCCCTCCCATCCAGATCAGCTCCTTTTCTGTCTCATTAGAATACAAAAGTATACTAAAGTGTAATAGTAAAACATAACAAAATAAAATATAATAATAAAGCAAAACAAAAACTATCATCTCTGAATTGGATTAGACAAAGAAACGGAAGGAAAAGAGGCCAAGAGACGGCAAAAGAACCAGAGGCCCACTCATTTGCATACTCAGGAATCCCGTAAAAACACTCAACTGGAAGCTATAACATGCAGAGGACTTGGTCTAGACCCAGGGGCCCTGTGCAGGCTGCTTCAGTCTGTTAGTTCATAAGAGCTTTGATCGTGTTGACTTAGGCCTTGTTTTCTTAACATCCACTATCTCCTCTTGCTCTTACACTCTTCAGCTCCTCGTCGGAGGGTTTCTCTGAGCCCTGACAGGAGGAATTTGATAAAGACATCTCATTTAGGGCTGAGTATTCCAAGATCACTCACTGTGCTTAATATCTGGCTGTGGGTCTCTGTATTTGTTCCCATTTCCTGCAGGAGGAAGGGTAAAAGTAACTTTTATTTGCCAGATCTAATTGTCATCTCTGAGGCTTACTGCCTCCATCTGCTAACCTAGGTCTAGTCCTGGAAGTGTCTGGCCTCTGTACAATCAAATCTAGGCTTAGAATGTTTTCAACTTCTGAGACTTTATTGCTAAATAAGCGCACCCTTTCTAGCTCTTTCTAAACTCTTGCTATCTGGTTCAACTCAGCTATACTGGCCCAAACTCCTCTCCAAGCTGACTGATTCAAACTGGCTCCTCTCTCAGCCTCTGGCTGAATTGCCATACTTGACCTCATGCTAACTTTGGCAATATGTTCTAATCTTCTGGCTCCTTCTCATTCTCTGGTTTGTTCTATCTTCATCTGTGTCTAGCTTGTTCTCTCTTCAACTTGTCTCTGTAAAACTATCCTGGTAAAACTGCCTCTTTCAGTTTGTTTAGATGGTGGATTACATTTATCAATTTGCTTATGTTGAACCATCCCTCCATCTCTGGGATAAAGCCTACTTGATCATGGTAGACAATCTTTTTGGTGTGTTCTTGAATTGGTTTGCAATCAAGTATTTTATTAGAAAAATTTACATCTATGTTCATAAGGGTAATTGGTCTGTAATTATCTTTCTTTCTATGTGGTTTGGGTGTCAGGGTAACTGTGGCCTTGTAAAACAAACTGGGCAATGTTTTGTTTGTTTCAATTTTATGGGATAATTTGAGGAATAGTGGCATTAACTTTTCTTCGAAAGTCTGGTAGGATTCTGCACTAAAACCATCTAGCCATGGGCTCTTTTTGGTTGGTGACTTTTAATGACAACTTCTATTTTAGTTGCTTATCTGATCTTGATTGAAATTTGACAAAAAGTACCAATCAAGAAAAAAACATTTCCAATTTGGTGGATTACAGGCTAAGGTATGTCTTTATGACTCTACATTCCTTCAGTGTCTGTTATTATGTCCCTCTTCATCTTGTGTCTGAGGTTCCTATCAAATTCCTAAATGTTTCATTTCCAGATTGGGTCTGGACCCTCAGTTTGGGTCTTCTTTATTGATTCTAATTCCACTTCAGGTCTTAAACTGTTTTATTTATTTCCTTTCACTGGTTGTATTTTCATAGATTTCTTTAAGGACCTCCACATATTCATAGAGGTCTTTGTCTTGTGCTTCAGCTAAGTTGCAATCCTCAGGACCAACTGTAGTAGAGTCGCTGGGCTCTGGTGGGGACATATTGCCCTGACTGTTATTGACTGTGTTTTTATGCTGATGTCTAGGCATCTGGATTTGGGATGATTGTAATTCTAGGTGCTGATATTTGGTTTTGTCTTTGTTGAGTGGGTGTTTTGTTCCTTGGTTCCTTTTGCCCTCTCTGGTTCTTAGGAGAGTGTGATGGTTTTATGTTGTCTAGTAGGGGAATTCATCTGGAATTTTTAAAAGTGTGGCCACTGGGGGATTCTGGGGTGAAATGCCCCCACCCTCAGTTTCTCTTTTCTCTACAGGCCTTCTGTCCTCTTGCCCTTGCTCTCCCCAGGTTTGTTCTCCACCCTCTTGACCCTCTGCACCCCCTCTCCTACTCGTTTCCCTCTCGTCAGCCATCACCTCCCTCTATTCTATCTCCCCTTCTGAGAAGATGTATGCATCCTCCCTTGGATCCTCCGTGTTACTTATCTTCTTTGATTCTGTGCCTTATAGTATGCCCATCCTGTCTATAGGTGGGAAAAAGATCTTCACCAATCCGACATCCGACAAAGGGCTAACACCCAAAATATATAATGAACTCAAGAAATCAAACACCAATAAACAAAATAACCCAATTAAAAAATGGGGCAGAGAACTAGAGAGTTCTCAACAGAGGAATCTCGAATAGCTGAGAAGCCCTTAAAGAAATGTTCAACTTCCTTAGTCATCAGGGAGATGCAAATCAAAACAACTCTGAGATTCCATCTCACACTGGTCAGAATGGCTAAGATCAAAATCTCTAGTGACAGCATATGCTGGCAAGGGTGTGGAGAAAGAGGAACACTCCTCCATTGCAGGTGGGAGTGTAAACTTGCACAACCACATTGGAAATCAATCTGGTGCTTTCTCAGAAAACTGGGAGTAGTGCTACCTCAACATTCAGCTATACCTCTCCTGGGCATATACCCAAAGGATGCTTCACCATACAGCAAGGACACTTGCTCAACTATGTTCATAGCAACTTTATTCATAATAGCCAGAATCCAGAAACAACCTAGATGCCCCTCAACTAAAGAGTGCATAAAAAACTGTGGCACATTTATACTATGGAGCATTACTCAGCTCCAAACAAAGAAATCCTGAAATTTGCATCCAAATGGATGGAACTAGGAAAGATCATCCTGAGTGAGGTATCCCAGTAGTAGAAAGACATACATGGTATGTACTCACTTAAAGGTGGACTTTGGCCATATAGTGTAGGATAAGCATATTACGAGAAATCCTATATGCTTAAGCACTCTTCGAGAACAGTGTTCTTAAAGACTGAAAAGCATCCCATTCTAAGGATGGACCACAATTATCTCAATTCTTTCTCCTCTGCAGCAAATTTGGGCCGCATTCATTTTCTTTCTCCCAACATGGCAGTGAACATCCAAGTACATTAATCTCTCTCCACATCTGAAATTATTGTTTTACAGTAAATGTCTAAAGATGCAATAAATATATACTTTTGGTATTCTTGCCACGTAGTACTGATTTTCTCTAGAAATAAAACCACGGTTCCAAGCTCACAGTTATTTAATAAAGATTTGTTAACCAATCAGTGAATAAATACATCATGCTTAGACTCAACCATAAAACACTGCTACAAGTTATTATAGTTGAGTAGTAGGAAGCTAAGCAGCTTCCAGGAGAAGACAAACACTTGCAAGAAAGGACTGACTGGGTGTTTAGATCTCACCAAGAAAAACATATCTTGATTGTGTCAAAAGTTGATTTATATGTTTACCTAATGGGAAACAGCAGCAAACTTGATAGTTGAAGAATTGATAATATCTCATCTTCAGAGAAGACAGCCCGGTTGCCTCAACTGGCAGATAGAATTAAACTTGCCTCAACTGGCAGATGATAGAATCAAATGATGCTTTTTCCTGTACACATGCAGCTGTTATAAGTTAATTTATAAATTAGCCACGGTAAGAGGTTAATAACAAGAGTGGATAGTTATAGTAATATTCTAATAATAATTATTGGAATATACTGTCTCTCCCTCTCATTCCAAATACTCTGTTCTATTATGATACTGTACTCACTCTTCTTGTGAGGATGTGAAATGATACAATGCCTACATGATATGATGAAGTTTTGCAGCATCAGGCTCTTGACTGCACACGGATGACTGAACACAAGCACTGGGCTACCATAACAATTGTTCTGATAGCAGAGTTAACTGCTAAGCAAGCAGTAGGCAGGCAAGTACTACGTGCAGAATGGACACAATGGACAAAGACTCACAACCTGAGGAAGATGGCACAAAATTTCATCATGTCATTTGAAACATAGGAACTGTTTATTTCTAGAATTTTCTATTTAATATTTTTCAGGCCTCATTGACTGCGGGTAACTAAAACCATGGGAAGTGAAACTGTGAACAAGTGGGTATTATTGTGAAGGCAGGGCACTTTGTAAACCTTCTGTGGACAAAACAATTCTCTTACTGGGAGCAAAGGAAATCTGGAAGAAAACATCTCTAGAGTTAAATTGGTAATTTACAGGTATCTAGAGGTGTGATAATGATTACCTTTAATGATTTGGCTATAAGAATCTAACTGAAAATCACAAGCTCAGTTAACAGCACAGCTGTCTTAGGTTGTAGTAAAAAAATTAGCACCTCACAGCAGTATGAGTTTGTTAAAGAATCATACTAGCTACTCACTGGCCACCTAGCCCTACTGAAACATTAGTCTCTTCTCAATGCTGCATTTTCTGTTATGTTTTACAGATATGTTGTATGTACAAAACACACACACACACACACACACACACACACACACACACCCAGAGGCAGAGATAGTTAAATATATAATAATATTAGATGCTTAGCTTTGTGCAGTTTCTGAGAACTAAGAAGATGAAAGAGGAGGAAGAAGGGGAGCAGGGGGAAGAAGAGAAGGAACAGGAGGAGGAGCAGCAGGAGAAAGGGGAAGAGAAAGAAGAGAAACAGGAGGAGGAAGGGAACAGGAGAAGGCAGAGGAGCAGGAGGAAGAAAGGGAGCAGGAGGAGAAAACAGGATGAAGAAGGGGAGAAGGAGGAAGAGGAAGAGTAGGAGGAGGAAGAGAACGAGCAGGAGGAAGAGGGGGAGTAGTAGGAAGAGGGAGATGAGAAAGAGGAAAAGGAGGAGGAAGACAAGGGGACATGCAGGAGGAGCAGCACAGTTGTGTAGCTTGCCCCAGACACTGGAACTCATCTCTTCCCATTTTTCTCTTTTTAGGGTCCAAGAGAAAGAAAGAACCTGCAGCGAGTTTGAGGGCAAATGAAAAGTCAAAGGCAGTGTGCCCTTGCTTTAAGTGTTTGGGGATGATATAAGGAAGACACACAAAACTCTTAACAAGGAAAAAGATCTGATGGTGTCAGCAGTTTATTTCAGTCAGCTTAAGGAAGCTATGAGAGGAAATGTTACAAACCAAACAGCAGTTTGGCGTCTGTTTCTTCCAGGACAATTAATTCATAACTGTGAATTATATATGTTATTATTTTATAAAGCCTTTCAAATTAAGTGGAATAAAGAAACACCAGTTTGGCTGCCCATGGATAATTTTTCTTTGACACAAGTTCGAATAAAACAACTGATTGAAGGGTTCATAGTGTGATAAGGAATTGGAGGCCTGAGGTGAAGTGCAGTTTACCTGAGAGGTGATGTGTAGGGCCATACACAGTGTACATCTCTTGACAGCTTCGGAGAGAATCCAGCGGGGTGGGAAAGTAAACGAACACCAACATGAGCTTAGTGATGCCCTAAGTGTTTGTGAAGAGGAGTTTCCTGATACGGAGTATAAATCTTACTTTTTAAAATCATCTCCTTTAATATACAAGAAAATGCTCAAAAACATAAAAGAATAACATCCAGATAGAACCAGAGTTGATAGCTTGGGAGGAACTGGAAAGCAGGACTTTCCTCAGTGCCGTTGGGGAAGAAGAGGAGAGGAGCACATAATATCACCAGGCTCTGCGTGAGCCCAGCATGAACTTAGCTCTACCAATGCAAACATCTGGTTTTCCTTTTCATGGTCCCGGTTTTGCTCCCATGCTCCTCCTCTAGTCTTCCAGTTCCAAGAATGACTCCTTCCTTTAGGTCCTTAACATTTTCACTTAGAGGAGAAGGCCCATTACCCCATCGTAGTGTCAAGGTCCCAGGGGCATTGTCATCCTGCAGGATGACGAGAGGGGACCTCCCTAGTACCTTGCTTTTTGCTTTCCATCTGCTGCACTTAGAAGCTGAAGCCTGGGGAGTCTCAGGGTCTCTGGGGGGGGGGGGGGCTTGTTTGAGTTCTGGCTGGCAACTATGGTCTCTGTGGATTGTATTTCTTCCTTCTTGGTAGACATGGGTTTGGAGAGTAGTTGAGTCTGGCTCCAAGGCAGCAACTGGTCATCAAGGAATAAGGCAGGTCTAGTTCAGAAGAAAAAGGCATTTCCTGGGGCAGAGCAAGCCCCAGGGAGGAAGTTGATTTGGAAGCTTCAGTCTCAAGTGCTTCACTGAGCTCTTTGACCAGTGAGCTCTTAGGGTAAGCACCATTGCCTTCATGGGCAATGCCAAGAGTAGGAGAGTGAGGGTCTGGGTCTTGTGCCTGTCTACCACTGTTCAGCTGTTCTGTTGGTAGATCGGCTGTGGAGATCTCTCCACCTGAATAGGAGTGTTCTAGACGCCAGGTGAACGAGGGTCTGTTCTGTGGCGCAAAGGCCATGCTGGAGCGTCTGAGATGCTCTGAGTAGGACCCATCTTCGCTAGGGGTGGGGACAGGGCCTGCTTGGTCCCCGTTCAGCCACTAGGAGAAGAGCAGCTTGAGAAACAACTGAAGCCAGGAGTTTCAAACTTGAGTATAAACTTTATTACTCGGAAAGAATGGCGGGTATTAGATGCCCAGGGAACCCAAGAGTAAGCAGTGATGCAATCTGCTGCGTAAGCATTTCCATCAGATGAATTCGCATCCGTTCAGTACTAGTGATGTGAGAACGTGAATGTAACGACTGTTTGCCAAGAGGGACTCCACCTTTATCCCTTGACAATTTCAGATGCAAACCCAGAAAAAGGTGCGTTGGCCCCGTGAGAGTTTTAAGTATGATAGGAATTTTGCCAGACAGTAAAGATTACTCTCATGGTTGGGCGTACATGCTTTTTATCTTTGGTGAGCCCTTCTGAACTTGAAGAGTGAATTTCCAGTATTTGCTACTGGGCTGATAACAAGTTTCACGGGGATTTAGGATGAAAAGATCAGTACGCGCTAAAAATGCTTCTTTCTGGCTTCCTTTGCAAATCAAATTGAATGGCGCTGCAGGATAGTCAGAGTTCAGTCTCATGTTCCAGGGAAATGTCTGTGAACCCCGTGAGGGAGGCTCTAGATCTAGCCATAAGTATGTCTTCTTAAGGGGTGCATTGTATTCTTCCATGGCTTGAAAAGCTCTGAAACCGTGAACCTAAGTAAGTCGTGGCCATAAATTGGGTATCTTGCAGATTTTTAAACAACTTTTTGTGTTAATTCATTTTGTGCTTTCTCTCTCTCTTTCTCTGTGTGTTTACATGTATATGTGTGTGTGTGTGTGTGTGTGTGTGTGTATGTGTGTGCATATCATAGCAATGAGAGAACAACTAACAGGAGTTTTCTTCTCTCCTTCCACTATGGAGGTTCTGGAGATGAGGTTTGAGGATGAGCACCCTTATCCACTGTGCCATCCCACCAGCTTTCTCTTGCTTTTTTTTTTTTAATGATGGAAAGCTGGATTATGCAACCAGTTACTCTTTTCTTCTCAAAGGACTCTATTCACATGGCTTTATCAACTGTGTTATGGGAAAGGCTTCAGGAAGTTGGCAAAGCCCAGGGAGTATCTCACGGTCTCTCTGAGCTTGAACAACTAGAATGAGAAGGTGGCACACCCCCGGGAGGAGCGCGAAAGGACAAAGCCTCCCTGTGAAGGCCTGGCTCTAAACACACAAACACCGAGCCTCAGAGAAGGAGCAGGTCTACAGGGTTGCAGTTTGATTTAGTAAGTTCACTCCAGAATCGCAAATGCAATGGATGATTAAAAGAAAGTCACCAAGTTCCTAAAGGACCCGTTGAGCACGAAGAGTTCTTTGATTGCCCATAATCCACACGAAACCTCGCCATGACAGGAGCCCTTGACTGCTCAGGCTTAACCTCCCAACCCCCCCCCCCCGCCCCGCCACTTAGAACAGCAATTTGAACAATCCAGAAATCATCCATTGTGACTTCTTAAGAAAAGTATAGCGTTTTGTTTTGTTAAAATACTCGCTGATGTCAATGGATGGCTTTGCACTTGCTGGGAAGTGCTCACCTGATTGTTCGATACAGTCGGAGGTAATGACTCCACCAGCAGTGACCTCCCAGGTCAGACACTGACGGGGGACAACTACTTAAGGAGCTTTTAAAGTCTCGTGTGACTAAATTAGCCTGGATTGGAACCAAACCCCACTGTCTATGGAGTGTATGTATCTTTGCCTGTGACTTTCCTGGGCGGGGGGGGGGGGGGGGGGGGGGGGGGTGGAGGGAGGAGGGGGGAATCATTCCCTTCTTTTTAGAAATCATAGCAGCTGTCAGAGAATGGGGTAACTAAAACAAATTTTTGATCAGAAAGATAATTTATACAGGTCTGCCTGCGGTTGTTCTGGCTTTATTACTCGGAATCCTAAGTCTTAGGAGATTCCCTGAATCTTGGAAGGCATTAGTAAGTCCAGGTTTTATAAGTCACTCCCTTTTTGACAAACTCTCCGAGAGACTTAACTTTCACCAGATTCTCTCCCCCACTGTGAGTTAAAGTCGGCATCCCTACATCCTTCTCCCATCCTGTCTTCTTCAAAAAGAGCTTATTCTCCCTTCTACCCGTAGCTCTGGGTCTCCAATGACCTCGCCACACTGTCCATGCCACATCTCCCCAGCCTGTGCTCTGCCCTCCGACTTAAGCTGACATGCTCCCTTTACCTGCTCCTTGAATGTTCTTGTTCTGTTAACAATCCCATTATTCTTCTCTGGGCGGGCTCTCCTGACTAGATCCCTTGAGTAACACTCCAAGCTGAGCTTATACCCCTGCCCATCACTGGACAAAGTCCATGCCCCATAGCGTGTTTTCATGTGGACAGATTGACATTTGCTTGGCTTGCTTGGCTGCTCCATCCCATGTTGCTTCATGCCAACAGAGAAGCATGGAGAATTTTTATACATGCTGTTTTGGAAGTTCTACCACCCCAAGATTGTGCAATTGGCCTTTAGATCCAAATACCACACATTGATCATTTAGAGTGAACCCATTATTCCGACCCATGATTCCAGCTTTGGATCATAATTCTATCACCTAAATTACTCACTCCAGCAACTCAGTTCCAGGTTCATGTAGTCTGCAAGTGTTTTTAACGTGTCAACATCTGCAGTCATTCAAGTAATTGGCAGAACTGTTGACCGGTTCAGGATGGAAAACCAGAGGGTTAGTCCGTGATAGTGGATGTTCACATGGGTGCTTTAGTTAAAATGATCTTTCGATGGGCTTTCTTTTCAGATTTTGGAAGAGAAGCTGAAATTTGGAAGTACAAATACATTTTAGCAACACTTCATTTTTCAACCAGCAACCTCTGTTACCTTCAACGTCGGCAAAACAGCTGGGCAGAGTCACAAACATCCCTGGGGCACACTCAGTAACTCAGGTAACTTTTACAAGAGCCCACCTCATCCCAACTACGCTCCCCTGGTGACCAAGACTTTCTACATGGGGTTTTGAGTGATGCTAACGATCAACCATTGCCGGATCCCAGAGCCAAGCAGAGAGTGGATTTGAACCACCCATGCAATGCACCTGTGTCCCTGGCTCCTCTTTGAATGTCCATGCTAGGTTTACATTTGCCTCTCTCTATTGAAGGACAGCCATGTGACTTGCATTGTCCAGTGACACAAGCGCAGTGAAATGGCATCTCACACTCGTGGAAGCTTTAAAAGCCAGCCATGTGGCTTGTCACATTTCCTTCCCACTGTCGTTTTGATCGGGGAAGAAGGTGTCAGGATGGAGCATTAGGCCTGTGTCCTCGAAGAGACACAATGACCAGACTTCCCTCTTCTGATGCGCGTTAGACACACAGGCTGGGAAGGAAAATGCCCATCCTAAAACTGGAAGCTTTATCCTCAATGTATAGCTCTGCCATCCTGCTGGTTTCGTTAAGGATGTGTCTTAGTCGGGGGTTACTATTGCTGGGATGAAACACGGAGACCGAAAGCAACTTAGGGAGAAAAGGGTTTATTTGCTTTGTACTTCTACCCTGTGGTCCATCACTGAAGGAAGCCAGAACAGGAACTCAAACAGGGCAGGAATCTGGAGGCAGGAGCTGATGGAGAAGCGCTGCTTACTGGCTTGCTCAGACTGCTT